ATGTCAAAAAAGAAAGGAGAAAGAAAATTAAGCAAAAAAAAAAAAAAAAAAAGAAGACAAAAAAGGTCAAAGGAAGGGCGATTGCTAGTCGAACGAATTTTTTCGTGAGATTTTTCACTGTGACGAATTGCATTTGAAATTGCATTTCGTCAAAAACAAAGGAGGGGCAGGGTGGAGAAAAAAGGAAAAGAAAGAACGAAGAGGAAGAAAATTAAGCGAAAACAGAAAAATAGAGAAAGGGGAGGAAAGGAAGGGGAGACACGTGTCGGATTTTCACAAACACGTAATATGTGGGACGCTTTTGTTTAAACGGGCGAAGATCGAAGCCGGCGACGAAGCGCGTTAATAATCAACCGAATGGTAATGACGTTAATATTTCGCCGTGAGGACGCGACCGTGAGCATAAAATTTCGCCATATCCAAAGGACCACGAAGCTCGTGCTCCCTATCGAGCCGCTGGCGGTCTTACGGGGCCAAGGACGATGCACATTGTTCCGCGTCTTTAATATGACGCAGGTTCGATTCGCCGCGAGCGGATTCGTTGCACCGCAGTTTACTTTTTTCGTGTTTCCTTTCATAACAAGCGGTAAATTGCTCCGCAACGATCCCGATAACAGCGTCGATAAAAATACGCTTCTACGCGGACACTTGCCATCTTTGCTATCCGATCAGAATATCCGTGCACGCGTTTATAAAAGTTTCGTCAACGAGCCTCTATAAATATCGCGTACTACGATGTAGTATAATAAACTGTTGAATCTACGTCGTCGTTTTTTCACTGTTAACTGCTATTTTTGCAACGTTCGCCGTGTTTCCCTTTCTCCTTTCTCTTTCCTTTTCTCCTTGAGCTTTCATCCGGCGGTCAGAAAGAGTCCAAGTTTACCTCCGAACTTGACGAACGGATCGCCATCGATCCCCAGTAAATATAAATAGGATCGGTGCGTGACAAGTTGGAAACGAGCGGAACGCCTATACCGATCGTCCGGCAATGCAGAAACAGACGAATCAGATCTCGTTTATTTAGCCGAAAAGAACGATTAGAGGAAGGGTGTAACGTAGAAGGGTGTAACGCTAAACTTCGTAAATATTTTCCAAGCCAAATTTCGATAGTTTCGAGAAAATAAAATAAGAAAATGCCGGCGAAGTTGACTATCATTGTTTTGGAAAAACTATTTACTACCATAGGGGGATACTTGCTCTTTGTTTTTACAAACGATGTACAAGGATTTTCAATTACGTGCTCGAACGATCGAGACTCGAGACGGGTGCCGAGGTCTATATGATGCTTCAACAGGTAAACGTTTTAGCAACTCGTTCGTTCCACGAGCAGCCAGCTTCAATCGACTTTCAAAACGGGGAATATCGATTTTACGATCGCTTGATCGAAGTGGGAATTGCCCTTCGTTTCTTCGAAAGTTTCTCGAGAATCGTGGAATAAGAAAAAACAAGGGCGCGTGCAACACGGCATAATGATTCCGTTCAACGCGAAACGAAATAGCCGAGGCGGG